AAAGGCCCTGAGAAGTCCTGCAGTGAAGAAGTTTGTTTAGCCCAGTGTGCCCTAAATGTATTTGACAAAAGAATCTTCTTTTTGGTGATACCTATGAACATCTCTGGAAAGGAGTGTTACATGGAGTACATTTTGGGAAAAGCTGTCTTTAGAGATGTGTATGTCCCCCCTCAGTCCCTCCAGTGAGTGCTTCATAAGGTTTAGCATAGTCTGGGGGTGGCACGGAGGAGCACTTCTCTAACTTTTCTCTCCCTGCCTTCGAGCTGTCAAGTCTAGCCCACACACCTGCCCTGTATGTATGCCCTCCCTCTCTCTGCTTGTTCTCTCCTTCTCTGTCCCAGCCCAAGATGCTGGGGGAAGGAAGGTAAGTGCCAGTTTCAGCTTCAGCCAACAGAACTGTTCCCCCACCTATCTGTAGTTTGGCCCTCCCTCTGTGACCACTGGCTGATTTAATTTTCACCACCCTTGTTTCTAAACAGTAAAGTTGAAAAATTGCTATTTGTTCTTTTTCTCAAATCTGTCTCTGAGTTGACCTCTTCAGGAAGCCCCATCTGATCAAAAAGAGCATGCGCTGTGGGTTTAGGGCAATGGTTGTCCAAGTGTGGTCCCTGGATTAAGAGGACCTGGGAACTTGCTGGAATTGCAAATTCTCAAACTCCAACTGGCTTGGACGCTCTGAGGGTGAGGCCCAGCAATCTGTGTTTCACCAAGCCCTCCAGGTATTTCAGATGCAAGTCATTAATCCAGGGGTCTTAGAATTCTCTTCTCTGTTCAGATCTGTTCTACCTCATTCATTTTCTGTACATGTTTTTCTTTATACCTCACCTAATTCCAAAAAGGAAAGGATAGATGACAGCCAGTACTAAAATGCTCACCTACCAGCACAATTAAAACACATTTACAGATAAACTCTCTTCTCTCCAATGACTGCGCTCACTTCTTCCAGGGCTCAGAGGCCCTCCCCGACTCTTTCCAAAATATCAGTCTCTTCTCCCTGCTCCTCCTACTCCCTTTCCTCGCCTACTTTATTTTTTTCTTAGCCCTTATTATCATGTAATATGTTATATAATTTATAGTGGGTTGTTTTTTTTTTTTAATTTTCTCACTCCCTCTTAGAATATGAGATCCCTAGGTGCAGGAATTTTTGTCTATTTTGTTCCCTGCTTTATCCCCAGGACTAGAGCGGCTCCTGCCTTAATACGTATTTGTTCAATAAATTAACCTTATAAGGAGGCAGGGGAGGGCCAGTGCCATGATTCAACATAGAACTTCACCTGGAGCTTCCTGGCAGGCAAGGAGTTAAAAGATCTCTTTACCTACTAACAGAAGCTCTGACACTGGGGGGGAAAGGACCCAATCAGCGAAGAGACCCTCCTTTTGCCCTGAGGGCTCCTTGGGTGGGTAACAGCCAGTCGGGTCCCTGGAGGCTCTGCCTCCGGGAAGCCCAGACCGGTTTCCACCCCAGAGGATTCAATCCTCCACCCCAGCGAAGTTTCTCTTTTCTCTCTCCAGTGAGAAACGGGCAGACGCCTGCCTGCAGATGTCTGTGCTGAACTCATCTCCTGGCAGGAGAAGCAAAAGGGCACGAATTACAGGAAAATGTCTGCTGTTTCGTCAGTTTTGTGGGTTAAATGTGGCGGGACTTAGGGGAGGTGGGGGGGGCGGAGAGCATGTGAGTTCTTTTTCCACCTGGCTGGAAGGGTAGCCCCCACCTCGGAAGAATGTATCCAGCACTGATAAATTTATAAAGTATTTGACCTTTAATCAATCCTAATATTTTCAATCCACTGAGCCCTTCTTAACCGCCTGCAGCCCTGCCCCTGGACCCCTATTCATCACAATTACCGCTCCGACTGTCGGAGGCGGTTCGGGAACCGCCACACGCTGACGTCCAGTATTTTATCACTAATAAAGAGAAACATCCCAAGTATTTGCCCAGTTCTGATCCTTTCCAGCCTGAGCCCAGGAAAAGGGGGAGCGTGGTGATTTATGCTCACTGCCTGGCATTGTTAATTGGCCTTCTCTGCTGCAGCCTGTGGGACCACAGCTTCCCTTGGCTTCACAGGCTCGGCCAAGGGCGCGCGCGCGCGCGGAGCTGCGGGGGCCGGCGGAGCACACAGTAGGTCTCACCCGGCATCTGGGAAGTGGTGGGAAGCGCTATAAAGGGCAGTGTTTTTTTAAAAAAAATCGCGATTTGGCGAGTGCTTGCCGTCACTGGTGGCTTTGTGAACAGATCCGATGTTTACGAGGAAGCTTGTCCAGTTGTTGCCCTGGCTGTGATCCGCCTCCAGCTCCATGCCTCGCCTTCCTGCCTCCCTCTCACCATCCCCGCGCGGGGTCTGCTGTCCAGGCCGCCACCCCTCCTCAGCTCGAAGGCCCTCCCTTCCCGGCCTCCCGGCTCCAAAAGAGGGAAACTCAGTTTCTAGCCACAGCGTCTCAGACGGCCCACAGGCTGCGTCTACATGGTACCCAAACATCTGGATGAAATGTAAATAAAACAAGCAGATGTTTCTCCTTCATTACAGCAGGTGCCTTGGCAGAGCCCTCAGGCTTGAGCTATGAGGGAAGGGCTCTCTGGGGTTCCGGGGCCCAGCGCGGCGTTGGGAGGACTGCGCACCACTGCCCTTATCAAGGGCCTCACAGAGAGGAATGAACAAAGAAAGCCAGCCACCCCTGGAAAAAAGGTGCTGGCAATGGATGATAGCCTCTGTGTGGACAAGATGAAAGGTTTGGAAACCCCGGGGTGGCGGGGTGGGGGAGCTGGCAGGAGGAGGGTTAGAGGGAGAGAGGTCCTAATGCAAATCAGTGGAGAAAAGAGTCATGCCAAATCCCTCTTTAATTTCATTGTGACAAAGGGTTTTCTGAGCCTCCACATTCCACACCACTGCCTTCCAGGAAAAGGGACTGTCGTGAAGAAACAAGGAGTGGTCAGGGGCTAAGTGCAGGGGGGCTGGGCTTCAGGGACAGAGGTTGTCCTGGGGTTTAGAAATGGCACAGAACTCCCCCTTATCACCCCATCTTCTGTCTAACAGGAGACCAAGGGCCAGTCACATTTGACTAATAAAGGGGGGTTGAGATACTTGTGAAAGGAGCATGAGGAAGGACAGGGGTTCAGGGGACGGGAGGAAAAAGGAGATTCACTGGTTGCTACTTGCCTTCCCTTTACTCCTTCCATCCTCTGTACCCTGCTACGACGTGTCCCACTGACACGGTCCCCCCAGTCCTGTCCTCCATTCTCCTAGCCTTGTGTTTGACACTGAACCCATTCCCCTTGCCCCGGGCGACACCCTGACACACTCCCCCGGTCCTGCGTGTGACACCGACACACTCCTCCAGTTTTCTCCACTCCCCAGCCATGTGTATGACACGAAAACCACTCCCCCAGTCCTCTGCCCTCTCCTCTAGTCCTGGACGTACCAGGGACCCACCCTCCCTGTCCTTTCCCCCACTCCCTCAATCCCTGTGCGTAACACTGAACACACCCCTCTAGCCCTCTCCCCCAAGTCCCCCAGCTCTGTGTGTGACACTGAACACACTCCCCGATCCTGATCCTGCCCCCCACTTCTCCAGTCTCTGGGTGTAGCACTAAACACACTGCCTTGGTCCTGACCCCTGCTCTCCCAGCCCTCTGGTGGAGCATCGCCCGTGCCCTTCCCTGACACTCCCAGAGCCCCGGTGTGTCAAACCAAACACATTCCCCAGGGCCACCTGCCTTGGAAGCAGCTTTTTTACCCCACTATCTCCAGAGACACTTTCAGGACCCTACAGGGATCCTTCAGCCCCCAGCCCAGCACAAACAAGCATCGTTGCACGTGAACGTGTGAGTGTGTATGAATGTGGGAGGGTGTGTGTGTTGGCCGCCATCAGAAGGTTGCTGCTCCCAGCTTCCCCCATGCATCCACTGATTACTGCATTTTGCACCCAAAGCAAATATTTTCCTTTGACCTCAGTGTTCCTATCTATGCAACTGAGCTACAACTGTACCTCAAGCTATTCAGGACCCATGGGAAAGGGTCCAGTTCCCATCAGGAGTTGAACATTCAACAACTGGACTGTGGTTAGAACCAGGCGAGGCACAGTTTGGGGGGAGGAGATTGTACTTTGATGAAGAAGTAACTTTTTAGTTTGGTTTTTCTTGCTTTTTTTTTTTTTTTCTTTTTAGGAAACAGGAAGAGCCAACCAATGCCCCAAGGCTCCGGGTTTTCCAAACAAAGACTCTCAGCCCTGATAACTACTGCTGTAAGAAGTGGAGGGCTTCCTTTCTCATTTTGGGCCAGGGAGTAAGAGTCAGACACAAAGAAAGCTGGAGTACCTGGGTGATCCAATAACTTCCCCCAAGTAGCCTTGCTTTTTAGCATCACGGGTTAGAAGTTTATAGGAATTCTGGATCCATGGTTTCCTATGGTCGCTTTTACAGATCTTGTTAATTTATTACCCGTGGTTACACTTTTAATGGAAATCATGAAGAAATGGCAAAGGAAACATGAGCTAATTTTTTTCCAGTGACACATTTCCCTGCTATTTAAATAGCCGTTTTGCCAAACCAAACACAGCGCTTACAGCCAACAGTGACACATGAAGGAGATCACTGTGGCCGATCCTGCCTGCGGCATCCAGAACAGGCGAGACTTTCTCTCTGCTTCCCCAAGGGCCGGAGGCCGAGGAGGGTGGACTGGGGGGGGGGGGGGGGGGGGGCGGGGCGCCTGGAGCCCGGGGCACAGCTGGAGCCCCAGAGCCGGGGTGACTTGCAGCTCCCACCCTCTCCCAGGCAAGGCTACTTGGCTCCTGCCTGGAGCCTCCTCCCCGCCCCCGGCTGAGGGGCCCCGGGGTGACCATTTCCCCCTCAGCCTGGGAGGCCCCCCAGAGCCGGCCACAAACAGGCCACGGGCAAGGACTGCCCAGCTCTCTCTGCCAGATGAGACGCTCAAGCCTCTAGCTGGGAACACTATTGGGTTGTATAAAACCAGAGATAGACTTTGGGGGGAGCCTGGCCAGCTTTGTTCCAGCTCTGTGGTGGCAGTGGCCGTTATGTGACCACACTTGCACAAGGCGCCTTTGTTGGGCAAAAGCCCAGAGCCTCTGACTTCTCCTCAGAAACATTAGCCTCTGACGTTCTCTTGCTCCCTGGCTCTGGGGCTGTGATGTCACCAAGCACTTATTAACTTCTCAAGAAGCCAGTTGAGAGCTGTGGCACTGGGCAAGCAAGAAGCCAGGGCCTGGGATATTGGTGAAGGGGGAACAGGCCCACAGAGACGCTGGCAAGAGCTGCTGCAGGGAGCGCAGTGGAGGGGGAAAAGCTGCTTCCTAACAGCTCGGTCAGAACCCTGCCTGCAGTGGAATGGGAAGAAGCGAGGCTCTTCGGGGCCAGCCTCCAGCGCTTGGACACCTTGGATCAGTTGTCAACCTCAGGGGCCCAGTAAGAGGCCCCTGGCACCGACATTCCCATGGTGAGCTCCCCTGACGAATATCAGGGTAGGTGATTCCAGAAGGGGGCATGAAATGGGGAGACAACATCCCGGAGGGAGGAGACCTAGCCAGCAGAAGCTGAGGATTAGGCACCCCCAGGCCCCCCTGCTTCACCAAGCCTGGCTGAGTTTCTGTTCCCCTCAGTGGGATGCTCTCCGGCCCCCAGAGCCCCCCTGCGAGTGTCAAGGTGAGCAGAGCAGAGGGGCTCAGACTGAATTCGGGCAGCAGGCCTGCTGGCTTACTGGGAGAAACCACTCTCCCTTCTCCGCTTTCCAGAGAGAAAACCCACTTTAGTGAGGCTCCGGAGAGAAGTTAACTGTCGTCTTCCCTTTGCCAAAAAGTATATTAAATTCACTGACCGCATTTTTCCAAACCCAAGTGCAGAGGACATTAGATGCAATGCACACTGGCTGGGCTCTGGTGCGCCGGGCACCCCACACATTTCATTTTGCATTATTAATATTTAAACCAAAGCAGCTGTTCTCTGCATACAGAGCCCAGAGCCTGCCCAGGGCTCCCATGGAGACTTCTCCTTGGGGCCAGATGCACCAGCTAAAAAGGCCTTTGTTGACCCGCAGGCCTTGGGCCACCTGGGACAAATTTCCCCGAGCAGCCGTTCATTGATCTGTGATGACTTTTCTGGGACATTTCTGGGCAAGAGGGCTCGGTGGTTTGTTGGCAAGAGCAGATTCTATTGATCTGGCTTAGCGGAGATTCAGTGGGGCCCACCCAGAGCAGATTTTTTGAGAGGGGTAGAGTATCTCTTTGAAACACCACCCTCCTCTTCTGAGCCCTCTCTCTCAGGGTTAGGTACCCGGGGCTTTCGGGGGCTCCCTCAACTTTTTCTCCTTCAACACTACAACACTCATACCAAGCTTCTGCACCTTGGAGCCTGGGGTCCTCCTCCTGGGCATTTGCCTATTAAAGCCTCATCCCTAAGCTGGGTGGGGAGACTCTTGCCTGGGTCTGTGGGCCTGCTTGGCAGACACTACCCTACAGTCGGATACACAGAGCCCCTTCCCAGCCTGCCTTCACTCCTTCACCCTTGGGACTCTGTGCTCCAGCCACCTGGGGCAGCTCTGTTTCCCTGATACACTAAATAGTATCCTTCCATAGCCCATCTGCTACCCCGACTTGCCTTTGACGTCCCAGATCAAAAGTCACATCCTCTCCACTACCAGCCTCCACCCCCACCCCAGGATGAACTAATTCCATACTCCTCTCTCCTCCCGTAAGACTTTATGTCCCCCTGTATTTTGGCATATATCTCATCATATTGTAAACTTTTCTTTCTATACTAGTAAAAATTCACATTTGTCGAGCATTTTTTACACGCATGATGCTTTAAGTAGAATTATATACCGTATAATTTTCACAATAACCCTATGAGACAGGTTCTCTGATTATCCCCATTTCACAGATGGCATAACTGAGGCTTGGAGATGGTCAGTTGCCTGCCCAAGGTGACATAACTAGGAATTATCTGTTTCCCCCCAGAGACTACAAGCTCCTCAATAAGGGGACTGTGTCTTATGCATCCAGGTCCTACCTAACACACTGTCCCATTATAGGTGCTCAATCCATGCTTGTTGAAATGCAAATAAAATTAAATCAAGCCAGCAGTGGGGCACCTGGCTGGCTCAGTCGGTAGAGCACGTGACTCTTGATCTTGGAGTGGTGAGTCCAAGCCCCATGTTGGGTGCAGAGATTACTTAAAAGTAATTTTTTTTTTAATTTTTAAAAATTAAGTAAAGCCAGCAGAAGGATTTTCCCAGGTCAGGATCTGCTGAGATGTCCTAGTGTCCCCATTTTCTTTAGGGGACTGCCTAGCCCTAGCTCCTAGGGAAAGAGAAGTAACAGCTTGGCAGTAAACGAGATCCAGATTCCAATTCCAGTTCCTCCTGAACTTGAACTAGCTGTGTCTCTGTTTGCGCATTTGCAAATTGGTGAAAATAATAGTGCCAACCTAATTTAATCCTTAGAACAATCAATGCAGTGCTGCCTGAGCTCGACTGGAGAGGGGGGAGGTTTTCAGGATTATAGGAAGGGATACGTGGAGACCTCTAGCCCGGCTCTTGCCGCATTACAGACACACACACACACACACGGACGTCTCGTCCACACACAGAAGTGCTTGCACAGCAGTGAGGCGAACAATGTGCTGTATTTATATAGGGCTCCGTGAGGCACTGCCAAATGCATCTCTTCGCCTAACCCTCACGACGGTTGGAAGCCAAACATTACTATTATGATCCTATATGCAGACATCTAGCGCTGCGTAACAAACCGCCCCAAAACTGAGTGAGTGACTTCAAACAATAGCATGACTTTTGTTCACAAATTTGCAAGATGGGCAGGGCTCCGTGAGTCTGGCCTTTGATGCTGGCTGTCAGTGGAGACCTTAGCTGGGACGCTCGGCCAGAATGACACGTGCGTGTCCCTTCCATGTGCCTGAGCTTCCTCACAGCATGGTGGCCGAGTTCCAGTGTGGGAGAGACAGAGACACACAGTGACACAGAGAGAGAGCACGTGCACCAGGCAGTGGAAGCCACACGCCTTTTGTGACCTAGCCCAGGAAATCACAGTGTCATTTCGGACACATCCCATTCACAGAGACCTGCCTAGGTTCCAGAGTAAGGGACAGAGACTCTGCCTAATGGAAAGTGGTCAGGTTTTGGAAGAGCATGTGGTACTAGAAATACTACCATGGCCTTTTTTGGAAAATACACAGAGCACCAGTTTACAGAGAAGAATACTGAGGTGAGAAGGCCACGTGGCCCGTGTAAGAGCACAGAACCCTTGAGCAGCAGAATCAGAACTTGAACCTAGGCCTTCTGACTCCAAACCTGGGGCTTTGTCCACTGAACAGTGTGCCTTCCAACTGCATCTGGTGGGGCTTCAGAAAGGCCCAGCCCATTCCCACATAACAAGGCCTTTCAAAGTCAGCCTGCCCCCTCACACACACACACACACACACACACACATACACACACACCCCACACACATACACACACACACCCAACACACAGACACACACCCGACACACACACAGACACACACACACACACCCAACACACAGACACACACCCAAAACACAGACACATACAGACACACACACAACACACACACAGAACACACAACACACAGAGACACACACACAGACACACACAACACACACACAACACACACAGACACAGACACACACCCAACACACAGACACATACAGACACACACACAGAACACACAACACACACAGACACAGACACACACAGACACACACGGACCCAACACACAGACACACACCCGACACACAGACACATACACACACACAACACACACACACAACACACACAGACACACACAACACACACACAACACACACAACACACACACAACACACACACCCAACACACAGACACATACAGACACACACAACACACAGACACACACACACCACACACACATACAGACACACACACAACACACACACAACACACACAGACATACACACAGAACACACAACACACACAGACACACACAGAGACCCAACACACAGACACGTACAGACACACACAACACACACACATACACACACAGACACACACACACAGAACAGCTTCTTCCTGTAGTCCTGTGGGATAAAGGACCTGGGGAGGGGCAAATCTCAGTGGGTCAGACCCCACCCTATTGCTTCACTGCCAGGCCACGCTGAGCCGGGGGACCCAGGCCAGCTAGGGACAGAGCTGGGGAGTCCTGATGCTCAGGGGTGACAGTGGGAGGAATGACAGGGGGCAGTCTGGGATGTGTGACGACAGCAGGAACTAAGAAGACTGTGGGTAATTGGGGGAATTGTTGGAGAATGTGAGTGTGATGTCAGCCTCAGTGAAAGAGAGAGGAAAGCCGGGGGTGAGGGGCTCCTGGGGTGGCGGGGGGGTTGGCCAGGAAAGGCAAGGGCAGTCAATTTGTAATGGGAGAAACAGTTTATTAGTCTAGAAAAGTTTAACTTGAAGCTCCCAGCCTACCTCCACGCCTCTGCCCTGCACGGGCAAATAGCACAGATGTGATTATAACCCATGCTGGTTGAATCCAGGGGAAGAGGTGGGAATGCATTGATTTCTTCACAGATTATTAAACAACTGAGCATAAAGCCAGCTCTTCGCCCAGCCCAGGGCCGGGGGCATCACGAATCAGCAGCAGTCCTGAGAAATCCCTACCTACCTGGGTCCACAGCAGGTGGGAGGAGCCTGCAGAGGTCAGGGTTGGGGCAGTCCACCCCTCAAGAATCTCTGCGGAATTTGGCTGATGCCTCTGGAAGTGCTTTGAAGGACTTGTTAAGGCTCCATCCCCAGAACTGGGTGCTCCCCTGCCACCCTTCCCAGAGGTGCCCGCAGGCCTGAAGCTCGCATTGAGTCCCAGCCTTTGGCCTTCATGAACTGAGCCAGGAAGCATCCAGCACACACTGGGACAGCATTGTCCGTGACGGCGGCGCGTCCCCACCCACAGCCAGACACAGCTGGCCTCATCCACTGCTACACGCTGTGCAACCTTGGGCAAGTCACTCAACCTTAGAAGACTCGGTGGAAGGGGAGCAATAGTATCTACTCCAAAGAGCTGTTGGGAGTCTTAAATCAGATGGCATGGGTTCCTACCCCAGGGCCTGACCTATAGGATTTGATACATGGGCACTCTCATCCCTAGCCCTTTTTCTCTTCCATTCTTTTCCAAAGAAAAAAACCCAAAACCATGATTCATCCTAAACCTCGTCTCGGCCAGACAAGTAGAGCCAAAGAGAGGCAAAGCTGATAAAGTGTTGGGCCGGGTGGGGGAGGGGGGGTGGACAGAGATTCAGAGGTTCGAATAGGCGCTTTCTGCCTTTAGGAGTCCCTGGTCGAGGAGGCTTTGCAGGACACTGGGAGCTAGAGCTGAGGTGCCAGCCCCCACTATGGGGGGAGAGCCTCTTGTCATCTCGTGCAGTTTGTGCTTGAGGTCCAGACAGTTCCAAAGCCTGTTCCTCAAACCCCGCACTCCATCAGACCCCAGCAAGGGGCCAGCGAGAACAAACAGAAGCACAGGAACCAGGAGAGAGGCTACTCCATCGCTGTCATGGAGACATGACATGCAACATCATCCTGGGCTTCACTGCGCCTCTATTTTTTCACCCAGAAAATAGAGTCAGACTGATGGTGTCCTCTTGGCCTCTTGCATTTCCTCCTCTAGCTCCTCGTCGCCCCTCCCTCTCCTTCCCCTCAGGCCTCAGCCAGACAAACCATGCTTAGCCAAAGGGAGGAACAAGGCTGTAGGCTGTTCTCTAAGGTCCTTTCGGTGGCTCCACCTTCTGAGGGCCCCGTATTCCACTTTTCTGAGCCAGCACTGGGGTTGGATAGGGGGACCACAGCCCTTGACTTCCCTGGAGGACTCTGATGCCATTCACACCCTTGTCCCTCATGGGCTTCTGTCCCTCTGGGACTCTTGGACGATCTTACGCCACCTCTCAAAGTTCCTGGGTTAAAAATACTTTCTCTTGGGGTGCCTGGGTGGCTCAGTCGTTAAGCGTCTGCCTTCGGCTCAGGTCATGATCCCAGGCTCCTGGGATCGAGCCCCGCATCGGGCTCCCTGCTCCGCGGGAAGCCTGCTTCTCCCTCTCCCGCTCCCCCTGCTTGTGTTCCCTCTCTCGCTGTGTCTCTCTCTGTCAAATAAATAAATAAAATCTTTAAAAATACATTCTCTAGAACCTTAGGAATGAGACTGAAAAATAAACAGCCTCCAACCTTGTCTCGTGGTTTTATTTTGAGACCACTAACAGCCCAAAACAAACCTCCCCTTCCCTTTCTCCTCTCCTGGCAGCTCCAGCATCCTCCAACTCAGTCCTGCCTAGGCCAGATTAGGGATGGGAGGAGGTTATGGTCCATGGAAGGGTCATACCTTGAACTTTATGGGGTTTGTAATGGCCAGGTGCAGAGCTGGGTCCCTCCTTTTCTTGAAAACAGCCAGAGAAATGAAATGCAGGCTCCAGAGAGCACCCAGTTCTGCCAAGGGGCAAATCAAAAGGGAGGGGGATGGGAACACAAACGGGTGTATGAAGATAAAAGGGAGTTTTGTACTGGCACAGGGGGCAGCCTTTGGGTGAGGAGAAATAAAGGAGTTGTGAGGAGGCTGGTCATGTCATAACCAGCAAGTGACAAGGGATAAGAAGTTTCCATGGGTTGATAGAAGGTTACCCACCATGAAAGTAGTTTTCAGGCAGGTATCAGGAACTAACTGGGTTGAAGTTGAGAAGAACCCATGGCCACCTTTCAGGGTTCACTGCTCATGGTCCCCAGAAGACTCTGGCCATGATATTCCCTCAGGAATATCTCCCCTAACCTCAGAGGTGCCCGGGAGAAGCCTTGGGGCAACTGGAGCCCAACATTCCCTGGGCTCTTCCAGCCCAACATTTATCTTAGGGTTATTTTCACTCCCAAGAACAAAGAAGCTTTCTATTCAGCAAGTGGCGAGAACCCACACCTCTGACAAGCCATAGATCACCCTCGGGGAGAGTGAGAGGGACTGGTGGCCAGCACGTGGGGCTGCTTCTCCCTCCTACCCAGACCCACAGAGGGGGTGTCTGGCTCATGGCTTGCTGTAGGGTCCTGGGCAGAAGGCAGAAATTGTGCAGGACAAACTGGTTCTGTGAGCCAGAGGCCAAGCTGGGTGGGAAAGGGGGAAAGGGAGGGCATGACTGACTCTCAGGAAGGAGTTCTGAGCAATCCCTGCTTGGGCCAAATGCTCTGGGCTCAGTGTCCTCACGTGAGAGACACGATGACCATCCAAATCACCTGGGGAGCTCTAAACAAAGAAAAGTAATGCACACCCAAGGTATATAAAGGCTGATAGCACAGAAAAGGTATATATTGGATTCAACACCCCCGGTGGCTGCCATTGTGGGTGAATATATTTTTTAAAGATTTTATTTATTTATATGACAGAGAGATAGAGTGAGCCAGAGAGCACAAGTAGGGGGAATGGTAGAGGAAGAGGGAGAAGCAGGCTCCCCGCTGAGCAGGGAGCCTGACTCCAGGCTTGATCCCAGGACCCTGGGATCATGACCTGAGCCAAAGGCAGACGCTTAACGACTGAGCCACCCAGGCGCCCCTGAATATTTTCTCTAATGTTTGGAGGGGAGTTTTAATTTTTATTTTTGTAGCTGAATTTCTTGTTTCCTTCAATAAATATATTTGAATACACTAGCACATGTAGGTATGGACACAGGCACACACACACACACACCACATATATATACATATGCTTATAAACTATCCATTTTCACACATTTGATAAGAAATTAAACACAGCGCTCTACAACATCCCTTTCACATTTAACCATATAACTTATAAGTCACTCCACATTTGTACATATAGAACTATCTCCTTTTTGCTGAATTGTTAGTATTCCATTGCATGGCTCTCGATGGATATTTAGGTAATTTCCCATCTTTTCCTATTACAAATAACACTGCAGCAAATATCCATGTAACATATCTCTTTGTGCACATTTCTGAGGATGAGTAGGGTATATTCCTAGAGGCAGAACTGCCAGGCAGATCAAAGGGCATGCATATTCTTTTATTTCAACAGATATTGCTAAATTGCTCTTTATAAAAGCTGTAGTTATTTACACAGACACTGACAAGGTACGAGAGTGCCTCACATCTTAAGTCAACACAGTATGTTATACAACTCTGGATTTACATTAATGTGATAGATGGGAGAAATAACATTTCATCGTGGTTATAACTTGCATTTCACTCAATACAAATAAGGCTGACAAACTTTTAATGTGTTTAAAAGCGATCTGCACTTAAGGGAGATTTAAAATATACACATCCCTGTATCCCACGCTCAACAATCTGATTCAGTGAACCCCAAAACTGTATTTTTTAAAAGTGATTGGGATAAATGATGATTTCTTAAAGAGAACATTAAAAAAAAGAAAAAAGAAAAAAACACTATCCATGAAAGAGAAGACTGATACATTTACTTTAAATGTCCCTTCATTAAAAGAGAATGAAACTGGGGCACCTGGGTGGCTCAGTCGTGTAAGCGTCTGCCTTCGGCTCAGGTCATGATCCCAGGCTCCTGGGATCGAGTCCCGCATCGGGCTCCCTGCTCCACGGGGAGCCTGCTTCTCCCTCTCCCACTCCCCCTGCTTGTGTTCCCTCTCTTGCTGTGTCTCTCTCTGTCAAATAAATAAATAAAATCTTTAAAAAAAAAAAAAGAGAATGAAACGTTTGAGCAACAGACTGGGAGAAGATATTTGCAACATATGTATTCTACAAAGAACGCAGACCAGAATATGTAAAGAAGCCCTACAAATCAACAAGAAAAATTAGAAATCAACAGCCTAATTTTTTTTAGGTGGTAAAAGACATAGACACTTCACAAATGAAGATAAATGAATGACCAAGAGACACATGAAAAGATATTTCCTCATAACTCATCAGGGAAAGGTAAATTAAAACCACAATGAGATACCATCACTGGTAGTACACTGGGAAATATTTACCAACCAACTTTCCAGGGATGAAAGCATTTCTTTGGTGTAAATATTCCCACCAGGGCAGAGTGTAAGCTGCCCAGGTGATTTTGCTGATTGCATAATTAGGGAGCGATGGATACAGTTGACGCTCACGAGCCACACAGGCTGGCTCCAGCACCTCACCTTGACCACAGCGCACCTGCCACGAAAGCTAAAATGAAAAAGACTGACCACACCAAGTGAGCGCTGTAGGAATGTAGAATAAATACAACTCTAGCAGCTGGCTAGTGGGAGTGTAAATCGGTACGATCACACCGGAAAACTGACAATATCTCCTAAAGCTAAACATATTCTAACCCTGTGAGTATGTATACCCCCCCAAAATGCATACCCCGCAGAACTGAGGGTGCATGTGGTGGCTAAGTTTAGGTGTCAGCTTGATCAGACCATGGGGTGCCCAGACGTTTGGTCAAGTATTTTCCTGGGTGTGACTGTGAGGGTGTTTCTGGATAAGATTAACTTTTGAATCAATAGGCTGAGTAAAGCAGATTGCCCTCCCTAATGTGGGTGAGCCTCATCCAGTCAATCAAAGACCTGAATAGAATAAAAAGGCTGAGTAAGAGGAAACTCTTCCTGCCTGACTGCCTTGAACTGGGGCATTGGTTCTTCTGGGCCTCTGGACTCAAACTGAAACATCAGTTCTTTCTGGGTCTTGAGCCTGCAGGCATTCAGACTAGAGCTTACACCACCAGCTCTCCTGGTTCTCAGGCCTTTGGACTCAGAGCTCACCATTGGTTCACTTCGCCTGGGTCTCCAGCTTGCAAAACACAGATCCTGGGACTTGTCAACTATAATGTGAGACATTTCCTTATAATAAATCTCTCCTTCTTTACACACACACACACACACACACACACACACACACTACTGGTTCTGTTTCTCCAGGGAACTCCGAATAACACAGCATATGTCCACCAAAGAAATGTATATGAATGTTCATAGCAGTTTTATCTGTAATAGTCAAAAACTGGAAACAATCCAAATGTCCATCAATAGTAGCATGGATAAATACATGCTGCTAGATTTATGCCATGGTATACTATATCACAATTAAAAAGAATAAACTACAGATACATACAACAGAATGCATGAATCTCACGGACAAAATGTTGAAAGAAAGGAGCCAGACCCCCAAAATACTATATATATTTTTTATTTATGTATATTTTAAAAACAGGCAAAATTCATTTATTATGAGATAAATCAAAATAGCAATTACCTTTGTGGAGGTTGATATTGACTTGGAGCAGGCATGAGGGAGTGTTCTGAATATTCAAGATGCTCCATATTTTGATATGGATGATAGTTACAAGGGCACGAAAATTGACCCAGCTGTACACTTAAGCTTTGTACCCTTTACTGTTTATATGATATACCCCAATATAATTTTTTTTAAATAAGTGTTTTTTAAAGCTACCAGGTATTTCTGATGATCAGCCTAGTATAGGAAACATTGGACTTAGAATCTGAAATTTCTCTTAAAGCCAGTGCTCTGTGAATGAGAGAAGAAACAGGTAGAATGGCACCAGGGCAAAGGCAAGAAGAAGGAAGCTGGGGTGCCTGGCTGGCTCAGTCGGTAGAGTGTGTGGCTCTTGATCTCAGAGTCACGAGTTCAAGCTCACGGTGGATATAGAACTTACTTTAAAAAGAAAAAGAAAAAAAGAAGAAGGAAGCAGAGTGTAGAGGCAAGGGTGGAGAATGGAAAGAAAGGGAGCTGTTTTTATAAGATGGTGGCAGTAGCATGGAGACGCGAGAGCAGGGGCAACGACTAGCTCCTTGGCAGCACGAGGAAAGAGGCAGAAGTGCAGACAGAAACACCCTTGGTTGGGAGCAACCTGAACGTGTCTATGGGCCAGCGGAGAAGGCAAGATGGGGGATACAAAAAAGACAAAGGCTGGAGGATGAAGCAAGACACTCAGAGTGAAGGGCTTGAAGCC